GTTCTGTCATAGATGGTTTCCTCCCTGACTGCCACTCAGCCCTGGGGGAAGAGAGAGAGCGGAGCGGGACGTCTTCCTAGAAGTGGGAGGTGCCTATGTTTGCCCACTACACTTGGGTTCGCTGTCCAAAGATGAGAATTTTTTCCAAGTCACCACGTCTCAGTAAAAGGGAGACCTGGAATGATGTACTCAAGAGAGGTAAGTCTGGGGTCTGCAGGAAAACTCAGCCAGGGTCTGCAGGATGGCTCGGCAGATAAAAGACAGCCTGAGTCTGGTCCCCTGAATTCATAAAAAGCCAGATGCAGGAGTGTCTGTAATCCCAGCATTCTCAGGGAGAGAGGCAGAGACAGAGCAACCACCTGAAAGCTCGTGGACCAATCAAGCAGAAACAAGAGAGCCCTACCTCAGAACAAGGTGAAATAAGAGACCCAGCTTCCTTCCACAAGCTGCCCTCCGACCTCCACATATGTACTGTTCCATGCGCGCATCTAAACTCTCCCACACACGATTATATAATTAACTAGCCGATTCATTTGTTAAAACACACATATGTTTGATTGCTGGCACACACATGGTAGAGGGGAGAGAACAGACTCCCGCAAGTGACCCTCTGATAGCCTCTCACAAGCCATGACACACACAGATGCGCATGCACACACATACACACAGAGAAATACACATACAATACATTTTAAATGCAATAATTTTTTAAAAATATTTATTTATTATGTATACAATATTCTGTCTGTGTGCATGCGTGCAGGCCAGAAGAGGGCACCAGACCTCATTACAGATGGTTGTGAGCCACCATGTGGTTGCTGGGAATTGAACTCAGGACCTTTGGAAGAGCAGGCAATGCTCTTAACCACTGAGCCATCTCTCCAGCCCCCTAAATGCAATAATTTTTAAAAATGATACACAACTGTGCTGTCAGACTTCACGACTGTGTGGAACACGGGAAGCAGATGTGGGCGGTGCTGACCAGACCGATAGTAGCAATAGGAGTTTATCTAGAACTACCCCATGTTAGATACTAGGAGATCAAGGCTCAGAGGGGCAGAGACAATTGGGTACACAGCTTGGTAAAGTTGGGGCCGGGTGGGTTACAACAAGGGTTCTCATCTCCCTCGCCTTCATAGCCCACAGATAAAGCATGGGCCCCAAAGACCAAGACAGGAGGTACGAGGGTGAGTGGAGCCATGTGCAATGGCTTAGGTATGGCCACCGACTGTCCCATTTACTTGATTGCACACTCCAGAGGGACAAAGGTAATTTTGTCCCTTTCTCTAACCCTGATGCCACAGTTAGTGCTCTGTGGTGACTGAGTCACCGACCTGTCACTGCATAAGTGCATGAAGACCTCTTCCAGGCATAGATTTGATGTCACAGATGAGGAGGGCATGATTAACTAGGAAGCAAGGACCTTCATGTCACCTACATCCCTCTCAGGTGAGTGAGGGAGCCTCCCCTATGATTCCCACAGCACTTGGTGTGGTCCCCGGGTCTTACCCCTCCCCACTATTCTGCTCTTGTAGTGGGTAGTACTCACCCCCATTAAAAGGTGATCTGGGAACAGAGAGGTGGCCTTGTTTCCAGAAGATGGTCGGGCAGAGCCAGGCAGAGGCTACACTCTGAGAACTACAGCTGGATCTGCATAGCAAGTTCCAGACCAGACCAGCCAAGGATACATAGAGAGACACTATCCAAAAGGAAGGAAGGAAGGAAGGAAGGAAGGAAGGAAGGAAGGAAGGAAGGAAGGAAGGAAGGAAGGAAGGAAGGAAGGAAGGAGGGAGAAGGGGAAAGAGGAAAGAGGAGAGGAACGGAAAGGAAAGGAAAGGAAAGGAAAGGAAAGGAAAGGAAAGGAAAGGAAAGAAGACTGAGGCTGGAAATGTAACTCAAATGCAAAGCATCGGGACCTGGACTCCATCCTCAGCATGACCAAAGGGAAAAGAGAGATGGTGTGTGTCATTTTTGCTCATGGTTGCAGAAGTCTCAGTCCACAGACATTTGGTCCTGTCACCTTCAGCCCTGTGACAAGGCAACACAACACAGTGGGGGAGGTAGGACAGAGGATGCTGCTTGCCTCCTGTCAGCTAAGAAGCAGAGAGAAGGGGACAAGGAAGGGAGAACGTGCCTACTATCCCCCTCAGTGGCATGCCTCAATGACCTAACTTCCTTCAAACATGCCCTACCTCTTAAATGTTCTGCCACCTCCCAGTGGCACCACAAACTGGGGACCCAGCCTTCAACAATAGGCCTTTGGGGACATTTCCAAACTAACAACAAGTTCCCTATAAAAGTGGAGAATTAGGCCGGGTGGTGGTATCACACACCTTTAATCCCAGCACTCAGGAGGCAGGGGCAGGTAAATCTCTCAGTTTGAGGCAAGCCTGGTCTACAGTGTGAGTTCCAATATAGCCAGGGCTATGCAGAAAAACCCTCTAAGGAAGATCAGAAGGCGGGGATCAGAGCTGGGAAGCAGTTCAATGTCACAATGCTTGCCTAGCATGAATGGTACCTCAGTGACCCTCCACCCCCGTAACCTCCCCCAAAAGACAAAAAAGAGAACGTAATCATAACTGTGTCTTAGTCAGCTGAGGCTGCTGTAACAAAACGCCTCCTACTGGATGGCTTAAACAGAAGGCATTTATTTCTCACGGTTGTGGAGACTGGACGCTCAGAAGCAAGTACCAAATGGCTCCATGACAGATAAGGGCTTTCTTTGTGACTTACAGGTGGCCATATTCATGTTGTGTCCTTTTATGTCCGAGGGAGGGCAGGCGAATGTCACTCTGGTCTTCCTTCCTTTTCTTATTTAAGACACTAATCGCACCATAGAGCCCCACCTTTATGACCTCCTGCTGTGTGACATCCTTCCTGGGAAAAACAAAAATCACTCATCCCAGAGAGAAAACCAGTGACAGACCAAAGCAACAATACAATCAAAGTCTTAACTTGGTGAACCAATGAGTCACTGGGATTACCTACAGAGTATGAGTGAAGGGTTACTTACAAGAGATGGATATGCCCCACAGTGGCGGCGCACACCTTTAATCCCAACACTCAGGAATCAGAGGCAGGCAGATCTCAGTGAGTTTGAGGCCAGCCTGGTCTACAGTGAATTCCAGGACAGCCAGGACTGTTACATAGAGAAACCCTGTCTCTGGGAAAAAAAGGAAAAAAAAAAAGAGCATGGATGACTCAGAGACCATTGCAATCATCAAAACCCACACTAATATGGGTGACAGGTCATGAAAGCTAGAGCCCTAGAGCTCTCTACTCGGAGCAGACAGCTCTACAGGTTGGAGAGCCTTCGTTCCTCAGCAGCTGGTCTGGCTAGTTTCCTGTCAGCGAGACACAAGCTAGAGTCACCCGACAAGGAGAAACCTCAATTAAGAAAATGCCTCCATAAGATTGGCCTGTATACAAGTCCTTCGGGCATTTTCTGAATTAGTGACTGACGTGGGAAGACCCAGGCTACTGTGGGGGAGGCCACCTCTATGCAGGTGGCCCTGAGTTCTATAAGAAAGGAGTCTAAGAAACCCATGGGGAGCAAGCCCATAAGCAGCACTCCTCCATGGGCTCTGTGTCAGTTTCTGCCTCAGCTTCCCTGGATAGCAGACTACAAGCTGAAAGGTGAAATGAACTCTTTCCTGCCCAAGCTGCATTTGATTATGGTGTTTTACCACAGCAACAGAAAATAGCTGTGGCAGAAATGGATGCCAGGTCTTGGGACATTGCTGTGACAGACCTAACTCTGTGTTTTGGGAGGATCGTGGGAGTATGTTTTAACTTTGGACTGGAAAAGCTTCTGCTCAGATCACAGCTCTTAGTATTTATATAATCTTAGAGGGGGTGGAGCCTTGTGAATCTGTTAAGTTTCAGGGACTTCCTGAATCCAGAGAGTTTTTTTTACAGTCTTTGCACCCTCCCCCTTTCTGAATCTTAAGGAGCTTACCTCCAGGATGCATGGAATGTTCCAGGTGAGAAGAAATAGCTACGCAACACCTCCCAAACACAGGCTTCAACAGGAACGTGAGGGTGGGGCTGCAAATATTCAGCCTATAATAATCACTTTCCTCATGGAAATTTTAAGAGGTGCAAGCTGAACTTGTTAAAGATTTGTTTACTTTTATTTTATGTATATGAGTATTTTACTTACAAGGATGTATACGAACTGCATGCATGCCTGGTGCCCACAGAGACAAGAAGAATTGCTAGGTTCCCTGGAACTGGAGCTATAAAATGCTTTTAAGCTGCCATTTAGGTGGTAGGAATAGAATTCAGTTCCTCAGCAAGAGTATCTAGCATCCTCCCATCCCTGAACCACTGAGCCCTGAACCACTGAGCAACTCCCAATCCCTGAACCACTGAGCATCTCCCAATCCCTGAACCACTGAGCATCTCCCAATCCCTGAACCACTGAGCATCTCCCAATCCCTGAACAGTGCACTGAGCATCTCCCAATCCCTGAACCACTGGGCATCTCCCAATCCCTGAACCACTGGGCATCTCCCCAGCCCTTAAGCTAATGTTAAGCTCTTGTCAGTATACCTGGCATGCACATCACCCTTTGTAGATGTTTCCAGTGCCAGCAGGGCCAGCATTTACTGGATTAATTAATGAACATATAAGTCAGTTAACGATGCAGAATGAATGGTTGAATATGCGAATCAGCCTACAAGGAAAATGAGAAGTGAATGACTGAGTAGGTAGAGGGGGGACTGGATGAGTGAACCTATGAATAAATGCAAGAATAAGTAGATAAATGATTGAGAAGTATGAAAAAAAGACAGCCTCCCTTCTGAGAGTTTCCCTAGAATTCCTGCTCCGGTCTCAGAAATTCCTTTTGCTGTAGGAATGCGGTGGCCTCTGAGGTCATCTCAGTGACAGCATCTCCAGGGATCTCTGCACCACACCAACCATCCATGAGCCACTGCCTCTTGTGAACCCTGATCCAGACTGAAGCCACCCAACGTGCCATAGGACATCCCCCCATGATGACAACTAATAGTATTTTCCCAGCCTCAATGCCAGTGACCTATATCCTGCTCCAGACATCTCCAGAAGACCCCAAATCCACCAGATCTTTCAAGACCAACAATTCCAAGGCACAGGACCCAGTCAGAAATATTTCCAAGCAGCTCTCAGAGAACTGTGGATACTACCTTTCTGAACCTAAAAACTTCTACTGCCTGAACCTGTGTCTCTTTGCAGCAGGGAAGCTTCTGGCTGCAGAGCCGCAGATATACGTCTCTATCCCCAAGGCCACAGAAACCTATATCCCTGAGGATCCCACAGCTAGGCTTCAACTGACATATCAGACATGTGGGTTCAGAAAGTACATCAACCCAGCCCTGGGCCCTCCTAGGAATGTACCCACTATGTCAGTCATGAAGACACCCTCTGCAGATGCCTTGAAGGTACCCTCTGTATCAGTCATGAAGACACCCTCTGCAGATTCCATGAAGGTACCCTCTGCAACAACCATGAAGACACCTTCTGCAGATGCCTTGAAGGTGCCCACTGCATCAATCTTGAAGACACCCTCTGCAGATGCCATGAAAGTATCCTCTTCAGCAATTGTGAAGGCATCCTCTTCAGTGGTTTCAAAACAATCCTCTGAAGGGGCCATGAAGCCTAGGACCGAGACTCAACCAAAGAACCAAAAGAAGCAAGACAAAGAAAAACATTGTCTCTGTCTTGACCTGGTGCTTATCAACCCAAACCGGTCAGCTCCAGGCATCCAGCATTTCCCTATTCCAGAAGCCACGGAGGTCACCATATCAGAAGCCCATGTTATTTGTCGAGCTACCACACAATAAACATCTGTCTGCGGTGTCTGTCTCCTACATTGAGGCTAGTTGCTCCCAGTTGTGTGGGCTGCGCATTGTATAAGGTCAACCTGCATCAACAGGAGTGTTGCTATAGATGTGTGTCTTTGCTTTGGCACACCATCCAGCAGATGACAGTAACGTGTCTTGGAGAACCAGAGGCTTCTAATGAAAGAAAAACATCAAAAGAGCTAGCGATGGCCTGGAGCTGTAGCTCAGTTGGTAGAATGATTGTCTAACACGCATGAAACCCTGAGTTCAAGACCCAGGAACTGCATGAACTGGGGGGTGACATGCGTCTGTACTCCCAGCGTTTGAGAGGTGAAAGTAATCAAAAGTTCAAGATAATCCTTGGCTACATAGAGTTTCTGAGGTCAGCCAAGGCTCAAGGTTTGCCATGCAAACCTGGTGACCTGAGTTCACCCTCTGGATCCTATAAAAAGGTAGAAGGGCAGATGTGACTCCACAAAGTTGTCTTCTGACGCATGTGTGGCATGTATACACCCACACACACTGAGGTCCAAGCTCTGAAACCAGGAAGAGAGAAGGGTCACAGAAGGCTGGGAGGTTGCCGAGAACATAAAGCATGATAGACAGATAAGATTGTCTTATTCGCAAACCTTACTGACAAGCACATGGGCTACTAGATAGGCAGGCACCAGCATACAGGCAGACGTAAGCATACACTCAGACTGGCATGTAGGCCACATGGAGGGAGGCACACAGGTCTCCAGACAGGCAGGCTGGCAAAGGTGAAAGTAACAGCTCTCACCTCTAATCCAAACACAAAAGTGGCATTCTGTCAGAAATAGTTAAATAAAAGATTATAAAGATTATATCACCATTTCCCCAGACATCAAAGATATGCCTTTTTTTTTTTTTACCGGCTGCATATCCATATGAGAGCCATGTTGTCTAAACATAGACTGGCCTCTGCAACCCTCTGCCCCCTACACACACACAACCACACACACAACCACGCACACACAACAGCAATAAATAAAGGCCAGCGGTGGCACTGGCAGATGCTTTTCCTGGGTAGGAACGTGATGCTCCAAGAAAGGTGGAGCATCCCTACTCTGTCAGTGCCACCGGCTACCCAACCTAGCCAGGGACTAAATTCTGAGACTCCACTTGTTCACGTGCAAAACGGGGCAATAAGCACCTCATTGTGTGGTTGAGAGTGTGTCATGAGATTAAATCATTTGCCCCAGTGCTTCAGCACAGATGGCGCTTAAGGACAACCACATGGGAGGCCAGCAATGGACCAACAGAGTGACGCTTCACCCCTAACCTGTTGGTTAGTCTTGACGGTCAGGTTGGGCAGTACTAAGCAATTCATGCAGTGTGCCTTCACCCATGTCTGCTGGGGCTCTTCCCGGGAGGACTAAGAAAGGGGACGATCCGCCCAGAATTGGCAGCACCATTCTGTAGGCTGGGGATTTGTGGAAATAAGAGGAAGAAGGGAGTGTGCCAGCACAGGCGTTCTCTCTGTGTCCCTGTCTTTCTGTCTCTCTGCGTCCCTGTCTTTCTGTCTCTCTGCGTCCCTGTCTTTCTGTCTCTTTGTGTCCCTGTCTTTCTGTCTCTCTGTGTCCCTGTCTTTCTGTCTCTCTGTGTCCCTGTCTTTCTGTCTCTCTGTGTCCCTGTCTTTCTGTCTCCTGCTTTGCCATCACCATGATGTGAGATGTCGGCTCTGCCATGCCCTCCACCATGAAGAGGGAATCTGTGAAATAACAAATCCTTCTGTTGCCATCTAGGGGTCTGGCTTGGGTTTATTTTCTTTACCAGCTACAAATCTGAAAGTAAGCCAGACGGTGGCAGTGCACGCCTTTAATCCCAGCACTGCAGAGGAAGAGGCTGGCAGCTCTCCGAATTCGGGGTTAGCCTGGTCTGCAGAGCGAGTTCCAGAACAGCCAGGGCTGCACAGAGAAGCCCCATCTCAAAAAAAAAAAAAAAAAGAAAGAAAGAAAGAAAGAAAGTAACCCCTCATCCATGCTCAGAAAAGCCTAGTGAACACATCCAGTCCCTATGGTGGGCTCTGGTAGAATCATACTTTGGTTTGTTGTTGGGGCCTTAAGAGGAGTAGACATGTCAGGCAGTGGTGGCCCCTTAATCCCAGCATGTGGGAGGTAGAGGCAGGCGGGTCTCTGTGAGTTTGAGACCAGCGGGGTCTACAGAGTGAGTTCCAGGACAGCCAGGGCAGTTACACAGAGAGACCCTGTCTCAAACGAAAAAAAAAACCACAAACAAGAGTAGGCACCATTTAAAGTCCCCAGGGAAGGGTTCTCACAACTGTGCTGAACATTCCTGTCAGCTCTTGTTTCTATGCACCTGGCAACCACGCCAGTGTTTCTGCAGGAAAGAATATGGTTCACATGGAACCAAGGGTAGAATGTGAAGTTAGATCCACTTGGCTCCTAAGTTTGTGTTCCTAAGCACTACCCTCCTCTGCCTGCAAGGAGGAAGGAAAGACCATCCCAGAACCTGGCAGAAACAGGGCTTACGCCATACCTCCCTATATGTCCTGTCTCCTTCCACAGTAGTAGCTCTCAGCCAGAGGCCACTCGGACTTCAAAGGGACAGTGGCTGATGCCTGTGGGTTTTGGTTATCACAGCGTAGAGAGGGGATGCTTAGTCCACACACCCTCATGAAAGAATTGAACGAAAACATTGAGCTGACGGTGAGCGTCTGTGGTCTTCAGCGATGGGCTTCCAGTTCCTCAGCTGGACATGTAGCTGACAAGACTTATGAGTAGTTGTGGCCCTGGGTGTCCAAGTGACTAAGTTTTGGTCAGAAGAACCTGACCAACTTCATTATTTATTTTAATTTTATAAATTCTATCATTTAAAAATATACAAAAAAGTAAAAACATCTTATACCAAAATTAACCAGATTCAGAATCTATCCTTTTTTGACAATTTATTTATGTATGTGTGTGTGGTCTACATATATGTGAGTGTGTGTACACATGCGTGTATACCCTCAGAGCCTAGAAGAGGGCATCAGATCTCTTGGAGCCAGAGTTGCAGGTGTTTGTGAGCTGCCCGATATGGGAGCTGGGATCCAGACTTCACCAGCCATGATGGAGCAGCAAGTGCTCTTAACGAATGAACCTTCTCTCCAACCCTTTGGACTTTGATAGCACGCCCTTAAAGGAGGTATGCCTCACCTTGAGACCTGCAGGAGGGAGTCAGCACCCCAGGCTTGGCCGAGCAGCAAGCTGGGAAGAGCCTACCCCGCTGATGACATCATGAGTGGAGTTATCAGGCCGGCAGCTTCGTGGGGGAGAGAAACAAACTTCCATCTTGTCAGTATTATTATTATCACAATTATCATCATTACTTATTGCGTATGGTATGTGTTGTGTTCGTGTGTGTGTTTGGGGACATGTACATTTTTATAAATGTCAAATGTTGATGATATCTAGTGTCTCTATCATCACTTCATGTTTACTTCAAATGTTTAATTAAATCGTATTTGTTTTGGGGGGAGGAGCTTGTGCCATGGCACACGTAAGGAGACGGAGGGTGGAGGACAACTTGGAGAGTTGGTGCTCTCCTTCCACCATATGGTCGCCTAAAATTCCCCTCGGGTTCTCAGTTACCCCCAGCCATCTTGCGGGCCCCTCCATCTTGGTTTCTGAGATGGGGCCTCTCAAGGCACCTGAGCATGTCCCTTCAGCTAAAGTGCCTACCCAATGAGCTCCAGGGATCCGTCTGTCTCCATGTCCCCAGCAGTGGAATCACAAGCGCCCACCACCGCACCCAGCTTCTATACAGGAGCCAAATTCATGTTTACTAGGAAGACCAAGCTCTCTCCTCCCACAACCCCACTTGCACTGTGATTCTGAGTCTTGTACCTAACAGTCAAACCTTCACACTGACTAACAAGATAGGGCAGCACCATGCCATTTCTTCTAGGATCTTTAGAACATGCCCCCCAGACAGGTTTTGTTTGGGCAGCAGATTCTGAGAAATGGGAAAGCATTTTCTTACTGCCGTGACATTGCAGCCCAGTGGCATTTGCCACTCTGGCGTTGGCCCACGCTGTCAGCCCCTCCAATTTCCAGACCTGACTCAGCTGCACTGGTCTCCCGTCTCCTGGATAGAGAGCAGGTGCACATCTCTGAAATTTTCATGAGATCCTGGTATAAGCAAAGGCTCAGGGAAACCACCGAACTAGACCACACTGTAGGTAGGGAGACATTATTTGGGGAAACCAACCTGCTGAGCTGTTTCTCGGGGGGGAGAGGGGCAGAGAACAGTGGGCAGTGGGGAAGCCTTGTCAGTTTTACGGGGACAGTTAGCAAGGGAAGGAGAGGTGCGGGCCAGAGCAGCCTGGGATTTAAGGGCTTTGAGCTGTTGCAGGCTGTTTAGGTTAACAAGGAACTAGGTGATCTTTGTCCAAGGTAACTAACTGACTGTTGGGGGTGGATAAGGGAAGTGCCGGCTTTTCCTGACAAACAGACCCCCCCACACACACACTAGATTTCTGAGGAGTGCTGAGTCTGGGTTCTCCTTCACCTGGTAGCAATCCTCCTGTTTTCCCCGTCAGAGTCCAGCCAGAGCTGAGCCCAGGCTGTCATTTTGTCTGCCATTTTGGGACTGCCCTGGGGAGAATGGGATGAAGGTCCAGGACCCTTGTATCACTGAGCAGACTGCAGCTCCTCCCAGCAGGGGGAGGCTGTGGCTGCTCACCCACATGTCACATGCTCTCTGCTGAGTCCCCGCACTTGAAGTCTGGGGGACACACAGCCTATGTTTAGGACATGGTGAAGCCCTCGCACGTGTGCAGTGGAGGAAACGCTGGCCTCCGTGTTGCCGTGTCTGGCTTCCTAACGCCCAGACCTGGCTTGAATGAGCTGTGTGACGCTTTTTTGTTTACAGTTGAGACCTTGAAACTCTCTTCTGCAAAAGTGCAGGGAACTTACCAACTTGTGTCACTTACTTCAAAGTCAAAGAGTGACTGGGCCCAGGGACTGGATTGACTG